TAAATCAATGACCCCCGGGGCGGGGCCAATTTTGACCCCAGGGCTTTTTATTTGAACAAACTTGGTAGACACTTACTAGAACATGTTTCAAATGCTAAATATCTTAGCTCTAACTCTTTTGGTTCTTTAAAAGAAGATTTTTTAAGTTTTTACTATATGCATATAGGGAAAATCAATGACCCCCTTGGGCGGGGCCAATTTTGACCCCAGGGCTTTTATTTTAACAAACTTGGTAGACACCTATTAGAACATGTTTCATGCTAAATATCTTAGCCGTAGCTCTTTGAGTTCTTTAAAAGAACATTTTTTAAGTTTTTACTATATGCATATAGGGAAAATCAATGACCCCCCGGGGCGGGGCCAATTTTGACCCCAGGGCTTTTATTTGAACAAACTTGGTAGACACCCATTAGAACATGTTTCATGCTAAATATCTTAGCTCTAGCTCTTTGGGTTCTTTAAAAGAAGATTTTTAAGTTTTTACTATATGCATATAGGGAAAATCAATGACCCCCCGGGGCGGGGCCAATTTTGACCCCAGGGCTTTTATTTGAACAAACTTGGTAGACACTCACTAGAAGATGTTTCATGCCAAATATCTAAGCTCTAGCTCTTATGGTTTTTTAAAAGAAGATATTTAAAGTTTTTTCTTTCGGTTGCCATGGCAACCAGAGTTCTGCATGGAATTAAATTCTTTGAACAATTTTTAAAGGTGACTACCAAAGGAACATTCCTGTGAAGTTTGGATGAAATTGGCTTAGTGGTTTATGAGGAGATGTCATTTAAAGTAAAAGTTTACGGACGGACGGACGACGGACGGACGCCTGACGAAAAGCGATCACAAAGGCTCACCCTGTCACTTTGTGACAGATGAGCTAATAAAAACATACCTAGTTCTAAGCAGCATGAGAGCATTCTGCTTGTTCTGGGCCTGTGATCTTGTAGTCTGACTCTCAGCCACCATACCTGTAAATGTGAAATATGCAGAATCAAGTTTTAAAGCGACCTTCACCTTAAAAAACAAGAGGGCCATGATGGCCCTAAGGTCGCTCACCTGTATGTTGGCCCCCGGAGCAGGGCCAGTTTAAACCCCAGGGCTTTTATTTGAACAAACTCGGAAGACACCTATAAGAAGATGTTTCATGATGTACACACTTATAATGAAAAACAATGATCTGCCCTCCCCTACCCCTGGCAGGGCAAATTTTAACCCAAGGGCTTTTATTTGAACAAACTTGGTTGACACCCATAAGAAGATTTTTCATGCTAAACATCTAAGCTGTAGCTCATTGGGTTTTTTAAAAGAAGATTTTTTAAGTTTTTACCATATACATATAGAGAAAATCAATGACCCCCGGGGCGGGGCCAATTTTGACCCCAGGGCTTTTATTTGAACAAACTTGGTAGACACTCATTAGAACATGCTTCATGCTTAATATCTAAACTCTAGCTATTTGGGTTTTTTTCAAAGATGTTTTTTAAGTTTTTCCTATACACATATAAGGAAAATCAATGACCCCCGGGGCAGGGCCAATTTTGACCCCAGCGCTTTTATTTGAACAAACTTTATAGACACTCACTAGAAGATGTTTCATGCTTAATATCTTAACTCTAGCTATTTAGGTTTTTTCAAAGAATACTTTTTTAGTTTTTGCTATACACATATATAAGGAAAATCAATGACCCCCGGGCGGGGAGAATTTTGACCCCAGGGCTCTTATTTGAAAAAACTTGGTAGACACCCATTAGAACATGTTTCATGCTAAATATCTTAGCTCTAGCTCTTTGAGTTCTTTAAAAGAAGATTTTTTAAGTTTTTACTATATACATAAAGGGAAAATCTATGACCCCCGGGGCGGGGCCAATTTTAACCCCAGGGCTTTTATTTGAACAAACTTGGTAGACACCCACTAGAAGATGTTTCATGCCAATATCTTAGCTCTAGCTCTTTGGGTTCTTTAAAAGAAGATTTTTTAAGTTTTTACTATATACATATAGGGAAAATCAATGACCCCCGGGGCGGGGCCAATTTTGAACCCAGGGCTTTTATTTGAACAAACTTGGTAGACACTCATTAGAAGATGTTTCATGTTAAATATCTTAGCTCCAGCTCTTTTGGTTCTTTAAAAGAAGATTTTTAAGTTTTTACTATATGCATATAGGGAAAATCTATGACCCCCTGGGGCGGGGCCAATTTTGACCCCAGGGCTTTTATTTGAACAAACTTGGTAGACACTCACTAGAAGATGTTTCATGCCAAATATCTAAGCCCTAGCTCTTTTGGTTTTTTAAAAGAAGATAATTAAAGTTTTTTCTTTCGGTTGCCATGGCAACCAGAGTTCTGCATGGAATTAAATTCTTTGAACAATTTTTAAAGGTGACCACCAAAGGAACATTCCTGTGAAGTTTGGATGAAATTGGCTTAGTGGTTTATGAGGAGATGTCATTTAAAGTAAAAGTTTACGGACGGACGGACGGACGGATGTACGGACGGACGACGGACGGACGCCGGACGAAAAGCGATCAAAAAAGCTCACCCTGTCACTTTGTGACAGGTGAGCTAAAAACACACACACAAAAATTTAAGTAATTCAATAATTTTATCTTGGAAAAGTCTGCCGTATCACTTTTAGTATTTCAATAATTTTATCTTGGAAAAGTGCATCATAATTACTGTTGAGCCTTCCGAGAGCAATTCATAATGCACCAGCAATGTTTGTTTCTAAAAATAAAAGATCGGGAAACAAATTGCCCGCTCTACTAATTTACATATAGAGTGAGGACTGGTAGATTAGATGTATCAAGGGGTTTCCTTATCTTTTTTATATTTTATTGATGGCAAATTTTATTTTCCACCTTAATTCATTAATTAATATGATTATCTTGATGAAATATTCAACACTGATAATTCTGATGTATAATGTTTACAATCCAACTGATACAACTACACTAGATGTACATAAGTATATAAACCTAACAGCAGTAACTGTGATGTGGCCTTGTGGGTTATAAATTAATGTTTAATTAGTTTATACAAATTTATTTTAGATTAATGTGTTGGAAGCTATAAGCTTAGTGAAACAATCTCGAATCCATTCTTGGAACCAACCCGAGTACTAAGCAATGAATGTAATGTTTCTTGCTAAAGGAAACGACTGGAACCTGCATGGTCAGCAATCCTTAGAATTCTAGTCCAATGTCAACAGTTTTTTATTCGTACCTGTAGGTATATGTTTAATTCTGACAGCACTGTCTGTTGTGTTCACATGTTGTCCTCCAGGTGCACTAGATCTAAATGAAGTAATTTGTAAATCTTTAGGGTCCAAAACAATGTCAATCTGTAAATAAAATAGTGTTATTAAGTATTAGAGTGTTGCTGTTGTTGTTTGTTGTTGTTTTTTTATCCAGGCAGTTTTTAGGCTAAAATTAAGCCTTATTTCCCACTTCAAAAGTGCTATTAAATTATTAATGAAATTTAGAATTTAAAGAATACCTGGCAGGGGTGTTTTTCTATTAATTTGGAAATGGCATTTACCTCTTTATTTTGGGAAGAATATTCCTAAAATTGCTAAAATGAGGCAGTGATTTTTATTCTTAAATTCATGGAAAGATCAATCCACAAATTTAAAATCAAATGAAATTTCATTTTGTCATGTGTAAGATTAACTTGCAGTTTACAATATTTGCATTTTACTTTTTCACAAGAACAAACAATCCATGAATTTCAAAAAGTGTTGTTTTTTTTTGACAATAACAATATATTTAATGCCCACAAAATTAAACCAATTCACAGTTTAATAAGTTAGAAGAGTTCAACCTAATCTTTCATTTTATTTTCTTAAATTAAAGTGACATTACGCCCTCAAATGGTATATAGTGAGTGAACAGGTGAAGTCGAAATAAGTTCACAATTTACCAAAGTTCCTTTCAATTTTACAATTTACTACACTGTAACACATAAACAATAAACAAACAGGGCCCAAGGATAGATAGATATAGATAGGTATATATCCGCTTGAATTTACCTGCATCATTCAATTCATAAAAAGAGTGGGACAGTCTTTTTATATTTTAGGCAGATGTATTTTGTGTCATAAACATTTTCCAGAATCATCTGTTGGTCAATCACCATTATAATATAATAGCCATTTTTTTTAAAATACATAGTCATTCAGCTCAAATTGAAAATGAATAAAATTAGCATAATGCCACTTTAACAATACATATTACAATACCTCGGAGGGTTGTGGCAGAATGGCTACAGAGATTGTGCTTGTATGAATGCGACCTTTAGATTCTGTTTTTGGTATTCGCTGCACACGGTGTACTCCTCCTTCAAATTTCATCTCACCAAAAACAGCCTGACCACTGATGGCAGCTGATGCTTTACGAATACCTATATCTGTATCTAAATATAGTAACAGATTATAGGATTATATGGTGGAATCAAGAATTATGGATAATTTTCTGCAGAGCTACAACCTTAGGAAGACAAATATTTTAGTTGTTAGCTAGAGGAGTTGCTCTACAGAGGAAAACATTCTGGAAATCTTAACTTTGTTTGGTTTTAAGTGGCACCAACACAGTAAATGTCATATGGTGACTTTCCAGCTTTACTGGTGGAGGAAGACCACAGATGCCCTTCTGTGCATTTCTGTATAAGTGGATATTCATGCGTCACAAAAATTTTTGCAAATGTCAAAAAGTGGACATTTTGCGTGCGGAAATATTTGTGAAAATATGATTTCTTGAATTTAATACTGTTTTTGTGATATCATTAATTAAGCAGGTACCATACATGTTCAGAATATGCCATTATTGTAATACATGTATCATTCTATTTCTCTGGGTAGGTTCATGATCCTTAACTGCCGAGAAAAAAAAAACTTCAGACATAAAAACTACATTGTAAGAGGTAATCAGAATGTGAAATTCATCAATTAAATCAGTTTAATAACAAAATATACTTACCAGCATTCTGTGTTAATGAAAACTGCCATCCTTTGTTATGAGCAAAATTCTGGTACATGTTGAAAACTTCCTCGGCAAACAACATGGCTTCCTGTCCCCCTGCTCCAGACTCTATCTCCAGAATTATATCACATTCATCTGTATGCTCCTCTGGACACACAATATCTACCAGCTGAAAGTATTTATAATTGAGCCGCGTCATGACAAAACCAACATAATGCGTTTGCGACCAGCATGGATCCAGACCAGCCTGCGCATCCGCGCAGTCTGATCAGGATCCATGCTGTTCGCTTACCAACCCTATTACAAGTTGCAAAACTTATAGCGAACAGCATGGATCCTGATCAGACTGCACAGATGCACAGCCTGGTCTGGATCCATGCTGGTCGCAAACTCATTACGTTGGTTTTGTCGTGATGCGGCTCAATTTATTTTTTAGTCAACGTTTTGAATTCACATACATGTACAAGAATAAATCTCTTTATAATTTCTTGTGGTTATTTTTATTTTTAGTTGCCCTTTGACATTTTAAACTGAGATTTGTCCAAGAAGAAAGCAAGTCATTCAATTTTCTTAAGGGGAAAGCAAAATGATAAAATCCATTCTTGAAGTAACCACTTGTTTTTTTTAATATGGATAGATATAAAGTATTGATACAAGGGACCTCAAAATTTTAGTCTCTTCAGAAAAACTGTTAATTTCGGTAGTAGTAGCTAAAGATGAAACTTGCGATCCCTGGACTTGTAATTCAGACTGTATTATCAATAGGCCACAGTAAAATTGTGTAAGATATTTTCAAATAAAACAGGTTGTTTATAACACTAAACACACATACCAACACAAATAATTTTCAAAGAAATTTTATACAATAAAGAAAGATTTTAAATGGTGTGTCTATTAATTAGTAAAATCTTATTAACCTGTTCTTCTAACTCCTGAATGTTGTTCATACAAATTTCCCTGTCATCACCCACAAGATCTTTCATCTCTTCATCTGAAACAATTCATTAAATGTGTATATATGTACATGTATGTCTTGAATTATTTAATACAGTCAGACCTATGTTATTGACCACCTTGGAATAAAGACTGCCCTATAAATAAAGACCACTGACAAACCTTCATTGATTAAATACAACAGAGTTATCTGTGGCCTTTATTCACAGGTTTTACTGTATTTAAACTAAAAAAGTCTGGAATAATTACAAAAAGGAAGAATACTTGTATAAATATTGAAGTACAGCAAGTCATTCTTGTATGAAATATTTAAATAAATTAAAACTAGACATTCTACCTTGCTAATCGCAAAAAATAAAATTCAACAAGAAAATTACCATAAATATAGATAAATAATAATCAAGGCATTTCATGATACCAAAACTTACCATTTAGCATTTTATCAAGTTCTTCTAATTCTTCATATTTTGCTTTTAACTCTTCATACACTGCTATAACCCGCCTGAGAACAACAAGTCTATAACTCTGATCTTTAGGAAGTTTCTTACCCATAGTTTGAGCATCATTCATTTCAGTACATTCCTGTTCAAGAGACTTCATGTATGCACTGTAAGTCTCATTTTTTAATGTAAATCTAGATGTCTTTGTTGAGTAACACCTTAGACTTACGCATTTATCACAATATTTTATTGGCAATACAACATTTTTCTCTAACTTAGAACACATGTTGTGGTATAAGCCGTTCCCTTTGCTGCCAAGCCCATGAAATATTAAACCTTGATGAAAGCCAGCTATTGAAATCAATTTTGGTAAATGTTGCCACTGCATTCTTGATAAGTGTGACATAAAGCACAACCCATTGACACTTCTGCATGCTAAAGCCATTCTGATGAACTTAAAACTTTACTTGAAACTGTTGAATAATTAATATTCAAGTTACTGTCAGATTACTTTCAACAAAATTTTATTGTTATGTAAAATAAATATTTTATCTCCTTTGTGAGTACTTTCTTTTTGAAGTAAGATGACATGATGCAGATTCCTCCATATGTATTTTGATAACCCAGCTAGAGTATTTCCTCACGACTTCACGAGCTGAAAAAAAATTAAGTGCACTGAACAATTAAATTATAATTATTGCACCTCATACCAATTCTGTAGAACTTTGATAATCATTGTATATAAATATAATAGTATATAACTTACAAAAACAAAATCTCTAATTATTAGAAAAACAGATAACTGAATATATAAAATAAGTGAAAACGAAGAAGAGACCCAAAATAAGTTGAGAAAAATGAGTGTTTCATGGGATTTTCCTTTAGCGACGGGTTTTAGAAGGGCAAAAACTTTATTGACCTTTCTGAAAACCTAGCTAAACACTGTTTTCCTGTATCAGTATGTTACAGATTTAGCTCTGGGGAATTACACATCAAATGAAGTACATAACACAATTACATGATATTTCTATTTTTATATACTTATTTTACCGTTCAAGGTGAAAAAAATTGATGTGTTTGAAAATTATCAATATTCATTTAATATCTATTGCAAATTTTTCAAAAAATAAATAGAGGATATTTGTTTAGTTCAGTGTAAGATCGGAATATATTTCACCGAGTGAGCATCAAAAGGTATATTTCACGAGTGGCGCAGCCACGAGTGAAATATGAACTTTTGGTGTTGACAAGGTGAAATATATTTCGATCTTACACTAAACTAAACAAATTTTCTTTTTATTATATGCAAAGAAACGTTTTAAAAAGACATTAAACCTAATACTGATAAAAAGCGCGCCAAATAATAATGCAACGTGACGTCATTTACGATGTCACATCATTAAGTTGGTACCCAGTACTGTGCAAGCTGGTATTTCACAGAAACCACATAAGGGGCTTAAATTCAAAACAGTTAAATTATCAAAGTGGTAATTTCACTGTTTCAAACAGTGAAATTACCAGTTTTATTTCACTGATATATTTCTATTAACCACCGAAAAGCATGTAATAAATTATGATTAAAAAATAAATAAAACAAAAACCTAGAGTTCATAACATTATTACACTCCATTAGGTGAATTCCCCAGAGCTATGTACAGAAAGTACCGGAAAACGGCGTTTAGCTAGGTTTTCGAATTCGTGAATTATTCTATTTTAGAAGATATTAGATCTATCACTTGTCAGAATGACAAAAAAAATTTTGAGATGAAGAAATATGTTCGTCATGAAAAAGTTAAATTACTTTGACAGCTGTATATAATGGTAAAATTGCATTTTTCTAATATTCAACAATTATGAAAAATGTCCTTACATGGGCGCCGCCATATTGAAATTGGTATAAAATCTGAAAAAATCCGTTTCAAACCGTACAGCACATATTTAAAAGGTAACCACGGATCTTAATCTTAAACAAACACAAACACACAAATTTATCTTATTGTAATATAAATCCGTGAGGTAACAAAGTTTACAACTACATGTAAATGTCTACAGATAACTTTGGAGTATATGATACAGCATAGCGAATGATACAAGGTGTGAGCGAATGATACAATAGTGATGACCTCATCTGATCATATTGCCGTTAGATGACGATTTAATTATAAAAGTTGACGATTTAATTATAAAAAAGTTTATTTCTTATTTGACCAAAGCCCTACTTTAATTAAGACCCTAATTAAAATAATCCCTAAAATTTACTAAAATAAGTGCCTGTTTTCAAAGTTTCCCTAGATTTTCTCAAAAGTATATTAGATCTAGTTGATCTTGTAAAATGTTAAATACTTTTACCGTCTAGTTTTTATTTTATTGCACTTTAAAAATATCAGGTACCATATTTGTTATGAAATTCAGAATTGTTTAGCCAAAAAACACCTATATTAATTAAATAATACAAAATAAACAAGTTTTTTCTTCTCAAGAGGGATACGAAAGATACATAAATTATAGATCTATAAAAAGAAAAAAAAAAGGAAAAAAAGTTTGGCCTTTTGGGGTTTGAACCCACGGCCTAAAGGAATGTCAGACGTTTCACTCCCAAGACATTTCACTATTGGGACGTTTCACTCCCAGGACGGTTCACACCTAGACGTTTCACTCCCAATTTGTCAATTGTATGGACGTTTCACTTCCATTTTTTTTTTGATATTTTTTGGGGAAAGTTAACAAATTTATTTCCATTTTTAATAGCTATATCAGGATTGATTATTTAAATTGATGTATGTTTTTCTGTTGTATATAAGCAATTAAAGTTCTGTAATATACATTTTTTTTTATTTTTGTTGCAGTGAAAAATGGTTTAATAGGTGATGATAAAAGATATGGTTGGTTATTCAAAATAAAACACACAATTGAAACACACAAAAGGAATTCATACTTATATAAACTATAATATAAACTATACTATGCTTATCCTTGAGAATAATATTTTCATTAGAACTTTCATAAAAAAATAAGCCACATGGAAATAATGTCATTAATTTGATATCAATTATTTTTAAAATAATAAAAAATATCAATCATATATTAATATAAAAGTAAAATATTTGTTATTTCATTTAAGTCTTAAACAAAGATATGCAAAAGATGTGTATAAAATTAATTATTCTTTTGAATAATTTCTTTATCAATTTATTAATCATGCAGTAGCCATTAAACAAACGTAGGTAATTGTGGTGTTAACAGTAATCTCATCACCTAATAAGTTGTATAAACACTAAGACCAACAACTAACTGTTTGACATCACCATTAAATCAGTTGTATAAACACTGCATTTACTATTTATTTTTAGTATATCATAAGTCTTAGAAGTAAAGTCATTAACAAAAGTGAAATTCCCTTCCGTAATTAATTTTTATGAAATTTAAAGTCCATTTATTTTTAGTTTATCATAAGTCTTAGAAAAATGTTGGTATAAAAAGGGAGTGAAACGTCAAGACGTTTCACTCCCATTTGGGAGTGAAACGTCTTGGCGTGAACCGTCTTGGTGTGAACCGTCTCAATAGTGAAACGTCTGTCTACCGGCCTAAAGTTTCAATGTATTTAACAGTAGCTCCTATTTGAATATTCTTCAACACGGATGTACAGCATTAGGATGGTCATACCTTAAATAAACTAGCATTGAATCATGTTCCAAAGTTTTTTTATCACTCCCGTTACATTGTTTGAAAAGGCGGAACATTTTTATTTGTTTGGGTCGTCAGACCAAACAAATAATGGTAGCGAAATTTCAGAGTCTAATGCTGTTAATTGCAAATGCCGAAAATAGTCCGCTTTTTGAAGCGGTTACTTCCCTTTATATGTACACTAACGCCGAAAAATTCAGGGGAGATCACTGCCTAAAGATGGCTCAAGACAGACGCATTAATTTTCAAGCAAAATAATTCCCGAATGGTCGAAGATTTCTAATATTGTTTAATTGTATTTTCTGATCGAAGATAAGTAACTACAAAGCGGGCATTCAATCTCTGACACAGAAGTTTCACGACAAGCCTAACAACAAGTAGTTCTCAAAACAGCTTAAAACTAGCGATTTAAAAGAAAGAAATATTTTTTATTTTGTTACAAGTATCAAACAAATTACAACGCATTCAAAGTTTAAAAGTAGCGTTGGCTTATAGAATTGTCAATAAATGCACAATCACAAATTACGCGGATGAATATGATTTTATCAATGAAAATACTATTTTTAGCGATGTCGATTACCGAATACTACACAAACCGAGTAGTGGAATATAGAGATTCTACATGTCGGACTGTTTGGGCGAGAAGATTTTCGCTAAATTATTTACTTCAATTTTAAACAACAGGTTTATCCTGAACAAAATAACTCGAAATTAATAAGGATTACAAACCCGAAATGCAATGGAAGTTCTAAATTTAGAATGACTTGATGTTATTCAGTTATTGTTTGTATAACTTCTCCGTGGTGCAGGGGTAACGCACTCGCTTAGTGTGTGAGAGGTCTGGAGTTCAAATCCCAGTCGAGGAAACTTTTTTTTTTAAATTCTTTTTTAAGTATCTTTGTTAAGGAAGTAGCCATGATATGCAAGGACAAAGTGTGGCTGTCATAAAAATGAACATAAATGATTTTTTGATGCAACACTAGTTTTGCAAAATTCCGTATGTATCAAACTCAGGGCTGCGTTTCATGGAGAGTCCTAAGTCTTAAGTTTGTCTTAGGATAAAAATTGTGACAATTTTGCGTTTCAAAGAAAGTCTTAAAAAAGGTCCTAACTTATGACTCCTATACTTATAAATGACCAAAAACAGTCCTAAGTCAGATCGGATCAAAATCCGAATTCATTGCACCATAAAATGGTATCTGTAATTCTGTATGCGTTCAATCCATCACATGAACGGTTGCTATTAGTAATTTAACAATTCGTCCAAACATCCCAGTTAATAACCAATGAGCAGGTTTTGTTAAAATTAATAAATGAGCCGTGTCACGACAAAACCAACGTAATGCGTTTGCGACCAGCATGGATCCAGACCAGCCTGCGCTTCCGCGCAGTCTGATCAGGATCCATGCTGTTCGCTATCAGTTTCTTTACTTGTTATAGGGTTGGTAAGCGAACAGCATGGATTCTGATCAGACTGCGCGGATGCGCAGGCTGGTCTAGATCCATGCTGGTCGCAAACCCATTATGTTGGTTTTGTCGTGACGCGGCTCAAATGTCGAAATTACTGGACTAATATATATAACGGTCGTCTTACCTTTAATCGTTGTTTTTCTTCTAATCAAAATTTGATTAAACATGTAGTTAGGTCGACTTTTACCCGAGTTTTCACATAGTCGGATATCTCGTGAAGTTGTCTATCTTTACATAAACTTTATTTTCTTTTTAATGGGGGGGTTGTCGCAGATAGGACATCCGCATTTCTGCTGTTACCGTGTGATTGCTACAGATCAATGGAAGTTCGTCTCGCACGGAATTTACGCTCTGTGTACTAATCACTTGAAGGAATGCAATATTTTGTTGACTATTCATAAATAAACATACATTGGAATATAATCATACGGCAACGAATGAATACTTAAAACCTTAAAAGCCTTTTGTTTCTTGGAATAAGTACACTTACAGGAATTTTTGTATGGAAGTCAAACTCCTACTTTGTTTACATTTTCCTTCTTTAATGGCAAATAATTCCACATTCTGTGCTACTTTCGTCGGGCGGGTAATAAGCATCGATCATGCTCTAGGGCCGTTATTTGAATATTTCTAAATCAGGAATAAAATCGTTTCTGATTCACAATGTGCCTTTAAGGAAATACTGTGTTGTGTACGCAACGTTATAATTTTACCTAAGTTTTTTTTATATTTACCTACCGGCTCTTTTGTTAAAAGCGGTCTAGTAAATCACTTACCGACCGCTTAACAGGTCTGCAAATATATACCGACCTGTTTTTGTTCTATTGTCCGCTATACAATAGAAAATTTGTGAAGTCGAGAAACTCGTGCATTACACACTATTCACTGTAAACGCAAAAAATTTGAAAAATAACGCTGAAATGTGCAAATTTATATAGGGGGGGGGGGGGGGGGCAGGGCAGTGACCACTATGAATAGGAAAAAGGGTCGATATATATTTTAAAGTACATTTCATCAAATTAATAGAAATAAATTAGCGCATACTGCTGTAAGGACCCCCATAAGATATATTCCAGATTATTTGTGAAAAAAAAGAACGAACTATTCTGACCCTGAAGTATGTGTTTCGCCGATATTACGCACATTTAGCCTTTCTTTATAGTTTGCTTTTCGGTATACCTAACACAATTGCCGAGCCATATACATGTAGCTTCATAAGATACTAGTTTTCGGCATTTATTTCCACAACTATGTCTTATTTTGCACACTCCTGCATTATTTTAACAATTCTGCATTATGGGATATATACGACGATTGGTGCATATCGAATCAAAGTCAACTCTTCTGCATCTTTCTTACCCAAAATATTACTTTCAGTGAGGATATATAGTTCATGTTAAGTATGAGTATAGTTCATCTTAAGTATAAGACCGTTTTTTTTCTCATTTTTCCCCCTAGTTTTTTTACATTAAATTTGGATTTTGTATACCAGTTCTTCCAAACATGAATGAAATTCTAAAAATATTTAAAATCAGACATCATAAAAAACAACAACAACAGAAAACCTAAATTACATGACGGTATATCTACATGTATAACTAATATTTATTCATAGAACCCTGTCTTTTACTTTCCTTAAAAAATCGTATATTTTAATTATTTTAGAAATAAGCTATCATCTATTTAGAAATA